CCTCCGCATCTTCCTGCCTTGTCTTCTCAGCACTGGGAACATGGGTGTGCACCACCGGGTCCAGGCATAGAGATATATTTTTTTCCTGCTCTGCTCCTGCACCTCAGTGTTTCTCAGAGGACTGTGCAGTAGACAGCAGTCTTCTCGTTTCTCCTGATGCCAAAGAGCATGAAACACTTCTGGAAAACAGGGTTCTTGGCTGCCAGGCTTAGTCTGTCTTCATTTTTCTGCTCAGGTGATGAGGCAGAAGTTGCAGGTGTAACTTTTCACCTATTCCTGCCCTGGGATAGAGAGGGACGCTCCAGCCTATAAGACCTTAAGAGCCTGGACCTGGGCTAGATGTGTTTTATCTCCTGGGGTGTGTGGCTGGGGTTAGCTCAGCAGTGTGGCATGCCAGGAAGGGAGGTGCCAACAGGTGAGATTGCAAGGACCCTGAGCATAGTCTCTGTTGAGCATAGTGGAAGACTCCCTGCCTTTCCCAGCGCACTCCCAGGGTGATGTTTCCCAAGCTAACCAAGCGGCTTATGTTTCTCTTTCAGAACTCCATTCGTCACAACCTCTCTCTCCACGACATGTTCGTTCGGGAGACATCTGCCAATGGCAAGGTCTCTTTCTGGACCATTCACCCAAGTGCCAATCGCTACTTGACATTGGACCAAGTGTTTAAGGTGAGTGTCCCTGTTGCATCTAGAGAGGCAGAGTTGTTAGTTATAGAGCCTTCTGGAAAGGAGCGGTGTTCCTCCTGATGTTCTCTGAGAGCTAGAAGTCAGTCGGCCAGTTAATGACTTGCATAATGCCCTGAGCTCCGGTGACAGATACCAGGTGACACTGCTTTGCCCTGAATCAGATCACATAGAGAACTGTTCTGTTCCCGAATAGAGAGGTCTTTCTCGACTCCCCAGTTAGCGCACGCTTGTTGAAATACAGCTTCCAGGTCTCTTACTTGGAGTTGTGATCAGTGAATCTGGGATGGGCTTAGTAATTGGGGGGGGGGGCATCTGTGTGCCAGTGCATGTGCAGAGCCAGAGGAGGACACTAGGTGTCCTGTTTCATCACTTGGAATGGGGTCTCTCATTGAAACTGGAGCTAAGCTGATGTCAGCAAACCCCATCAATCCGCCCGTCTCCACACCCGCCTCTTGCAGAGCTGGGGTTATAAGCACATTCATGGCCAGCCCTGGCCTATTTTATTTCTTAATGTAGGTATTGGGATCTGAACTCAGATCCTTATGTTTATACAGCAATCTGTCTTACCCACTGAGCTATCTCTCCAGACATGTAATTTGTATTTCCAGTTTTGCTCCAAAGAAACCCTTCTTTAAGTCCAGAGACCAGGAGTGGAACCATAACATGTTTTCAGAAAAAAAATTGTTTGGGGGACTCAGTGCCCATAAGAAGGCTGTTGCTGGACTGTTCTTCTGGAAGGGACCATTACTCATGGTGTCCCTTGGCACCCATCTAATAGGTTTCTTCCTAGTCTGGGTAGATTGACCACACTGGTGGTAACTTCATCTCATTTCTCTCCCTCGATGCCTGGCCGCCACCAGCCACTGGAACCAGGGTCTCCACAATCGCCCGAGCACTTGGAATCAGTAAGATTCTTTTCCTCTGGCTCGGGGCTTGGCCTTATTTCCCTTCACTGCTCAGCATGGCTTTAGTGGGCAGAGAAGCTGTGATGTGGGGAGGGCACTATGTTTGGCCCCATGGCTGCTAGCCCTAAACACAGCACCACAAAGGTGTGCTGAGCAGAGCAATGTGGGCACTGCAGGGACAAGCGCATGACATGGGCCTTGCAGGTGGCAGCAGAAGCCTCTTCTCTCAGCCTGCCTTTTCTTTGTCTCTCTGATAGCCATTGCATTCCCTGGGGGTGGTGAGGACCATGGGTCAGGTGTCGCATTGTCCTGTCCTCATAATGTCTGTGGCTGTCCACTTTACCCTAGCATGGCTTGACAGATTGTACCTACCTGCATCCATGATTCAAACTAGTGTTTTCTTTCTGGGTTGTTTGTTAGGCCAATGGCATCAGCTCAAGTTGGTGGGGTTGTGCTGTCTTCCCTTACCTTATTAGCCCCGGTTTCTTTCTCTCCCCATAAGCAGCAGCAGAAACGACCCAATCCTGAGCTCCGTAGAAATGTGACCATCAAAGCTGAACTTCCCCTGGGCGCACGTGAGTATGCGAGTGGGCCTCAGACCTGCCCAATCCTATTCTGGGGCCTGTCTTCAGGTGTCTCCAACTCAAAGGATCTGAGCCCGTAGCTGAGCAGAGCCCCTGGAGTGGGAAGGAGTGGGCCCTCAGCTTTGCCACCTCTGATCCCCTGCTTCCTCCTAGGGCGAAAGATGAAGCCCCTGCTCCCACGGGTCAGCTCGTACCTGGTGCCCATCCAGTTCCCAGTGAACCAATCTCTGGTGTTACAGCCCTCGGTGAAGGTGCCACTGCCTCTGGCAGCTTCACTTATGAGTTCAGAGCTCGCCCGTCATAGCAAGCGAGTCCGAATTGCACCCAAAGTACTGCTAGCCAATGAAGGGGTAACCTCACTTCCTGCTGCAGGACCAGTGAAGGAGGAGAAACCCCTGCTTGAAGAAGGACTATTGCCTTTGCTCCCTATTCAGTCCATTAAGGAGGAAGAAATCCAGCCTGGGGAGGACTTGGCACACTTAGAGAGGCCTATCAAAGCGGAGAGCCCTCCCTTGGAAGAGTGGCCTTCTCCGTGTGCATCACTGAAAGAGGAACTATCCAATTCCTGGGAAGATTCTTCCTGCTCTCCCACCCCAAAGCCTAAGAAGTCCTATTGTGGGCTCAAGTCCCCAACCCGGTGCGTCTCAGAAATGCTGGTGACTAAGCGAAGAGAGAAGAGGGAGGTGAGCCGGTCTCGGAGGAAACAGCACCTTCGGTCTCCCTGTCTAGATGAGCCTGAACTGCTCTTCTCAGAGGACCCCAGCACATTGCAACCAGCCATGGAGCCCCTACTCCTGGCAGAGTCTTCAGAGCCTGCATCCCAGCTCAGCTGCCCTCAGGAGGAGGGAGGACCCTTCAAGACCCCCATCAAGGAGACACTGCCCATCTCTTCCACTCCTAGCAAATCTGTAATTCCCAGAACCCCTGAGGCCTGGAGGCTGACACCCCCAGCCAGAGTTGGGGGGTTAGATTTCAGCCCAGTACGAACCCCCCAGGGCGCCTTTGGCCCCTTGCCTGACTCCCTGGGGCTGATGGAGCTGAATAGCACACCTCTGAAAAGTGTTCCCCTTTTTGACTCACCCCGGGAGCTCCTCAACTCAGAACCCTTTGACCTTGCCTCTGACCCCTTTAGTAGCTCTCCGCCCCCGCATCTGGAGGTCCCCAAGTCAGGCTCCCCCGAGCCTCAGGTCCCCAGCCTTTCAGCCAACCGTTCTCTCACAGAAGGCCTGGTCCTGGACACAATGAATGACAGCCTCAGTAAGATCCTTCTGGACATCAGCTTCCCTGGCCTGGAGGAGGACCCTCTGGGCCCAGACAGCATCAACTGGTCTCAGTTCATCCCTGAGCTGAGATAGAAGCAAGGCCTTGTCACTCAAGCTGTCCACTATCCTGGCACTTGCGTGGCTGGTTAGTGCAAGGCTCAGTGTACCCCAAGTCCTGGGGGAAGCTAGCGGGCAAGGGCTGAGCTATGCCCTTACCTAATTATGCCAAGACCATAGTCACATCTAAGCCACTGCTGGGACCTATGCATGCGGTAGGGTCTCCCAGAGAGTCTGCTGGTAACTGAAGGGTGGGTGTGGCAAAAGCAGTGGCGGCCAGGAAGGGCCCAGTAGTCACCTGCTGCTCCTGGCAGGGTAGCCCTTGTAAATGCTGTAAGCCCCAAATTGTCCTCTAATTATAAAGTAAGCTTATTTCCTTAGGTCATTATCTAGAGACGGCCAGGGGTGGGTAGGGGGACAGGGGTGCACTTTGCTTGTGTCCTGTGGGGGAGGGACCTGCGGTGCAGTTTCTTCCACACTTGTGGGTTCTGCTGTAGGCACCTAGACATACAGGTTGGTCTTCCAGGGTCCCGCTTACTGCCCTTTCCTGACACCCCCATGCTTCCAAGCCAGTGGTCCTGCAAGAAGAAATGTGCTGTAGAAGTGTTGGCTTTGGGTGTAGGGGGTTGGGCTCTGACATGAGTCCCTCTAGGTGTTTCTCTGATATTGTTCCCAGTCATGCCAGAGAGTCTAGCCTTGAGAGCCCAGGCTGAGGCCTGAGCTGGAGGAAGCGACCCTGACCTGCCTGGCTTAGCTTGCACCTGAGCTTCGCAAGGAGCCACCCTAGGCTCCCATACACAAGCTAACACAAGGACACTACTGTAACTACCTACTGAATAAAACCCAGGGTGGCACTGCTGGTGTCGAGGAATTGAATGGGGGGTGATGGTGGAGACGATGGACGAGGCCTTTCACAGATGTCCCTCCCACACCCTTTTCTGACTCGGAAATTGCCAGCTTTGTCTGGTGTTGTGGTTCATAACTATAATCTCAGCCTTTGAGGCAGAGGCAGGAAGATCCGCCAATCTAGACTACATGAGATCCTGTCTCCCACAAAATCCTTTTCTTGTTCCCAGCACTGCCCACCTCTTCCCTGCAGCCCCAGACCTCTTTCCATGGGACCAGAAATTGACTTAGGCCCCGCTGAAGGCTACAGCACTTGTAGCCCTCCATTCCCTCCCACTCCCACATCCAGCCAGAAAGCGGGGCACATCGCAGGCGTCTCTGCCACTTCTCTCCCCAGTCTGAGGGCTGCCTGCTTCCTCCTCCGCAAGCCTTCCAGGTCCTCCTGTTACCACATTTTGTAACCAGATCTGACAGAACACTGCCCTCCCTACCTCACCAGGAGAGCATTAGGGACTGAAGATCCTCCCAGGGTAGGCAAGAGCCTCCTCCCAGCAGCACTAGTCAGGAAACATCACCATAGCAACCCTAGCAGCAAACAATGGTACCAGACAGGGCTTTCCCCTAAAGCCTCCCCTCCTGGCTCTGAGGCTCAGAGGAAGAATGGACAGCAGCTGGAAAAGATCGCTTGGGAGGCCAGGCATGAGCAATGTATCTCATGTCAGGGAGCCTTTCCTGCAGGTAGAGTGGGACTCAACTCTGCTCCAACCTTTCAGGGGTCCTGAACAGCAGTCTCTCTGGTACACAAACTGCCTTCATCCTAGAATATTCTGAGTGTGGAGCTTAGGAGGAGCAGCAGCCTGGCCAATGCGGTTTGAAGAGGCCTTATCTAAAGAGCTTGGGACCAGAAATATTGTTAGCTTTGGGATTGGATTTTATTAGAGTGTTTGTATGTATGTCATAAACTGTCTTGGGAAGGGACCCAAAAGTTAACCGTGAAATTCCTTCTGCACAGCCTAAAGGTGACTTGATTTGTGCAATAGTTCTAGGACATCTGATATTTGAGACTGATTGCAAAGATCGAGTGTGGAATTTTCTGCTTGTGACACCATGCCCTTGCCCAGGAAGAAATAAGATTTTTCAGCATTGGGCATCTTTCATTTTCAGATTTCGGGGTGTTTGTTTTCTGTGTAGTCCTTGTTAGCCTGATATTATCAGCCTGCAGAAGCCCTGTCTCAGCTTTCCAAGGGCTGGTATTATAGATGTGTGCCATTATGCCCAGGTTTGGATTTGTTTGACTTCATTTATTTTTTAGGCAGAAATTCCCTATATTGTCCTGGTTGAAATTCACACCTAGGCCAGGTTATTGTTAAACCTGTGGGGATCTGCCTGGGACAGACAACAGGATGACTCGGGTGGTTGGGGCATTTTAGAAGAGACATTTCTGTCCTGGTCAGAGTGTGAACAAGCTCTTAGCCATGTTTCACACAACTAAGTATACTGAGGTTGAATATGGTCCCACTCAGTTGAAACCACATGTGAATTCCTTACTGTAGCAGGATCTTTCTACATCTGAAACAGGGACTTTGTTGCCAATTTTTAAAGAGCAGAAGTTGACAGAGTGGAAAATCAAAGCCAAAATGTAGTAAGTGGAAAAAGAATGAGATTTGATACATCTGTGGAAATTATATGGAGGGGAAGGAAGTAAGTTTTGGGTTGGGGCAGTTACTAGTCTCATTGAAATAAAATGCCTGACAAGCAAAGTTAAGGGAAGAAGGGTTTATTGGGGTAGGAGTTTGTCGGCAGTCAGGAAGATGAACACTAGTGCTTACCTAGCTTTCTGCTGGATGGTGGCATCAGAGTTAGTGTGCCTCTTCCCACCTTAATTAAGCTACCTAGAGAACCCCTTTTGAGCATGCCAGAGGCTTACAGCCTATATGGTTCTAGATCCTGTCAAGCTGACAATGTTAAGAGAGCTAGCTCAGTTTGTAAAGTGATTGCTGTACAAGCATGACAACCAGAGTTCAATCCCGAGAACTCACAACAAAACCTTTTTTGCAGGGGCCTCGAGAAATGATGCAGTAGTTTAAAGCATTTGCTTCTCTTGCAGAGGACCTGGGTTAGATTCCCACCTACATAGTAGCTCACACCCATCTTTAATTCCATTGGGTCCCCTGGATTTTGCCCTCAGAGACTAACAAGCACATGTGTGGTACATATACATACTTGCAGGCAAAACACTCATAAAAATATTTTTCAGGTAATAAAGTTTTAAATGGTAACACACACTTAAAATCTCGGGTGGGGAGAAGTGGATTCTCGAGGCTTGATGGCTGACAACCAGTCAGTGTAGTACAGCCAGACCAATAATTCCTAGACCAGTGAGAAATACCATCTCAAAAAACAAGATAAACAATATCCAAGGTGGTCTCCTGACTTCACACACATATGTATGTGCACATGCACCCACATGAGTACTTGGACATGAATGTACACACGTGTGCATGCACACATACCCTGATGACAGTGAGAATGGAGAGATGCCTCTTAAAGGAGGTCATGATATCCTGATGAGTCCTGGGTTGGAGGCTGGCTGCTTGTACTTGGGAAGGAGAGCAGAGCATGTCTTCAGCATCCTGCTCCTCTGCTGGCACAGTCATTCTAGGCTCACTTTTGTGTCTCCCTAGATGGTCCATGCCAGAGAATCCTTCCCCACCCACCAGACTTGGACTCAGCGTGAGTTCCTCCTCCCCAAAAAGGTCACGGAGTTGCCAGGCTTCACCCAGCAAGCCTACCACAAGCTGGCTCTGAAGCGGCCACCATACACAGAAATCAAGTCCAAGGTTCATCACCAGGAATTCCACCCTTGGAAGGGTGCAACCCAGCACACCTGGGGCTTTCACACATGGCTCGATGTGGGACGGCTGCCTGCCACCTTCCCCACTCGGCCAGACATACCCTATGACAGCAATGTCTGGCGCTGGTTGACTCACTTCAATGCCCACCAGCTGCCGGCTGCGCAGCCTGCCATCCCTCCACCCTCCTGGATGGGCCCATACAGCTTCCTGACCTTCATCAGTACCACCCCCATCTTTGTGGACATGAACAGGAAGAACCAAGTGATCGTGAGAACAGTGAGAGAGCTGAAGGAGGTGGAGAAACTCAAGCTGAGGAGTGAACTAAGGGCCCCTCCGCTCGATACCCATGGCAATATTCTGCCCCCACCAAACTTCAAGAAGTAAGCACACCCCTTCCCAGGCAGTGACCCATGTTCACGCGCCTCTCCCTGTCCCTGTTTCTGGTATCTAATTTGTGTCCCCAACTTTCCCACTCATGGTCATCTGAGACTTTTCTTTTGTGCAGCTGGAACCCGTGATCTCGCAAACACGTAAACAAGTGTCTTGCCAAGGAGCCACACTCCCGGCTGCTTTCTGAAAGTAGCTGGCTGGAGGGTGCAGATGAGGCGGGGACAGGTAGCCAGTGGAAGACACTTCATCATATAACTAAAAATGGAGAGAGGGCACTATGAATTTAGTATCTGCTTGGCCTAGGGACACTGAGAAAAGTAATTTAGTCCCTGGTTTCAAAGATAGAAGAGACAACTACCAAAACCACACTGCACCTGCAAAGCACCCACCTGTATTTGTGTGGGTGTCATTGTTGTATCTCTTTTGTTCTGTTGAGGCAGGATCACACTATTCAGTCCAGACAGGCCTTCACTGACAACTCTGCTGCCTCATTTGAGTGCTAGAATTCCATATGCATACCATCGTGCCTGGCTGGCATTTTTTTTTTTTCTTTTTTACGTTTAAAAAAAAATTATGTGTATGAGTGTTTTGCCTTTATGTCTGTCTGTACACCACAAGCATGCCTGGTGCCTGAGGAAGCCAGAAAAGGCTGCTGGTTTCCTGGAACTGGAGTTGCAGACAGTTGAGAGTGTCCATACGAGTGCTGGGAATTGAACCTGCATCGTCTAGGAAAGCAGCCAGTCTTCTTAACTGCTGAGACATCTCCAGGCCTTCCCTGTTTCTTTTCTCTTTCCTTTTTCTTAATTTCTTCCTTCCTTCCTTTCTTCTTTCTCTTCCCATCCCTCTCTTTTTCTTTTCCTTCCTTTTTTTTTTTTTTTAAAAAAAACAAGGGTAATGAGGAATTATTACATGCCTGAAGCACAAGAATATTAAGCCCCCAGTAAATCCACCACCTTTTAAACTGGAATCTCATTGTAGCCAAGACTGGCCTTGAACTTGATTCTCCAGGCTTTACCTCTGAAGTTCCAGGATTAGAGACGTGTGCCACCACATCTGACCAGTTAAGGCCATTTTTTTAAAAAATATTATGTGCATTGGTGTTTTGCCTGCATGTTTGTGTGAGGATTCTAGAGCCCCTAGAGCTGGAGTTACAGTTGTGAACTGCCATGTGGGTGCTGGGAATTGAACCTGGGTCCTCTGGAAGAACAGCCAGTGCTCTTAGCCATCTTTCCAGCCCCAATAAAGTTCATTATTAACAGAGGGAGCAGAAATGAAACCTGGGGTCAGATTTAAGGCCAGAGAATATCTTCTTGACAAGTGGTTTGGTCTCTCCAGGCTCAATTGGTAAAGAAGGGTCTTAGACACCTTACTGGATAAGTAAGAAATGAGTTGTCAGTGCATAAAAGAACCTGAACCAGCTTAGAGCACAGTTCATCAGTGGAGTACTTGCTTGCATTCTCAGGGCCTTGGATTCTGTCCTCCACACAGAAATGAAAAGAAAAGGACCAGAAAAGGAAGTTGGTAGAAAACTGAACCAAGGTTAGTTGTTATCTTGTCTGGGAGGAGGGGAGGGAGAGAGGGGTGAATGAGCTACTGGGCAAATTCACAGTTCTTGGAGTGGAGACGTTTCCTTCCAGGGCGGAGTCACAGCCAAGGTGCCTGTGTTCCTGTAAGTAATCTAACTGAGTCATACACACTAGTTGGGAAGAGGAAGGGGGTCCCTAGGAAAGGAGGACAAGTAAGGGTAATGAAATTGAGCATGATTAAAATATGTTATATATACAGAAATAGGAATACAATGACTGAGAAACCCTGTCTTGGAAGGGGAAAAAAAGTACAATGAAATGTGTTATGTATAATATATAATAATAAAAACAGAAAGTTGATATTTCAAAAATCTGTGGGCAGGCAGGACTACTGTGGGCTAGAGTATCCCCCTCTACCCCTAGAAGCTTAACAGAGAAATCAGGGCTAAGTCTAGAGGGTTAGAAGGTCTTCAGAAGGTTACTGAGGAGGGGCTAGAGTCAGTTAGGTCCTGCTGGAGTGGCCCCAGCAGAAACAGACATTAGAGGGAACTGCTTGGTGTGTGTCACACACACACACACACACACACACACACACACACACACACACACACACAGACGCTCATGGAGGCCAGAAGGGGGAATCAGATTCCTTGGAGCTGGAGTTACAGGCTTTTGTGAGCCACCTGACATGGATGCTGAGATTTGAATTCTACTCTGGTGATAAAGCACTAAGCTCTCTTGACTGAACCATCTCTCCAGCCTTTCCCTAAAAGATTTTTTTTTTTTTTTTTTTGAGACAGGGGCTCTCTATATAGTTTTGGCTGGCCTAGAACTCACAGTGCTAGAATTAAAGGTATATGCCACCATACCTAGCTTGAGGCTTTTTGTTTTTTCAAGACAGCATTCCTCTGTGTAGTCCCGGCAGTCCTGGAACTTTCTCTGTAGACCAGGCTGGCCCTTGAACTCACAAAGATCCACCTGCCTCTGCCTCCCGAGAGCTGGGATTAAAGGAGTGCTCCAGCAACTCCTGGCAGAATATAGCTTCTTATTTACCATGCAAGAGGCTCAAGGTTCCATCTCTGCACTAATAATAGTAATAGTAATAACAAACAGCAAAAACAAAAAAGTGTCTGGGGCCATTCGCTTGTGTAGTTGCAGCTGAGAGCCTCAAATGAACCAAAAGCAGCAAACAGGAGTATCTGCTGAGCCAGGCACGAAGCCCTTTGAAACACAGGAAATCTGCTACATTCAACGGTGCTGTTGTGTTGTTTTTAAGTTAATGTGGCCCTGTTAAATTTAATACTACAGGCCAACACAAAAGATCTTCCCATGTGCACTGCATTAGTAGAAAAGAGAAGAGGAGGAGAATGGCTGGGATTTAGATAAAACCCTGTCATAGAATCAGGCATGGTGGTAGAAACCTGTGACCCTATCACTCTGGAGGAGGAGGCAAGAGGATCTCAAGATGGAGACCAACATGGACTACATACTGAGATGCAGAAGCAGAAAGAAGGAAGCAGAGTGGATAACTGGATTGGAGTGAACCTCGTTGATGGAGTGCTTGCCAAGCCTGTGTAAAGCCCTGGGTTTAGTCCATAGCACCACACATATATGAGAAGAATCTAGGTGAGGGGCTGGGGAGATGGCTCAGCAGTTAAGAGCACTGGCTGCTCTTCCAGAGGACCAGAGTTCAATTCCCTGCACTCATATGACAGCTCACAACTGTAACCCTCATCTTAGGGAATCTTACACTCTTCTAATTTCCACCATCACCAGGCTAACAAGTGGTATACATGCTAACATGCAGGCCAGACACTCATAGACAAAAAATAACAAAATATGTGATAAAACATGTGATAAAAGGCTTATTAAAAAAAAGATCTAGGTGAAGCCGGGTAGTGGTGGAGCATGTCTTTAATCCCAGCACTCAGGAGGCAGAAGCAGGAGGATCTCTGTGAGTTTGTGGCCAGCCTGGTCTACAAAGCTGCACAGAGAAACCCTGTCTCAAAAAACTAGGTGATATTCTATACAGTTGTCCAAAGGATGAAGTTGTGCAGCTAAACAGTATGGCTCACCTAATGCCACAGCACACAGTTAAGTGCAGGCCATTTGGTATATAGCTTGATTGCCAAATAGCTGATGGCAATTGTCACCTGCCCTTCCTACCTCTCCCTACCATGCCTGGAACTGTCCCTTGACTCTGCTGTCTCTGAACCTCTTTTCCAACAGGTTCCAGTATGTATCTGCTGGTGGAAGGCTGGAGTCTTGGAGCCTCCAAATCCTCCCCAACCCACTTCCCAATGATTTCACCAGGAGCTGGCCCTGCCCAAACCCCCAGCCTCACTACCAGGAAAAGGTCCTGAGACTGGCTCAGCTGCCCAGTGTACCCCTGAGCAAAGACCTTGTGAAGGACTACCAAGCCCTGATAGTGAACCGCGTGGCCAAGCCCCTCTACTACCTGTCCAAGGCAAAACCTGCCAAAACATCAGAGGGAAAGAGGAAAAGATGGCCTGGATATCACTAAGGGAGCCTCCAGATGAGAGGAGGCCAGAGTGGACCACCCAATAGGCAGCAAGAAGCCTGAGGACTCTAGTTCTAGGGAGTAACTTTCTGACCATTCCCCAGCCTCATACCACCTCTGTATCAGGCTCCTGGAGACATTACTAAAGCTCTGAATCGTTCTGTGTTTTCCTTGGCAGAATCATAGAAATGTGAACTGGGCAGAGAGAAGAGGGTTGCTAGAATGTCTGTGGTTCCAACTCTTAAGATTGGACAAGGGTAGTTGGGCAGTGATGGCTCGGGCCTTTAATCCCAGCCCTCAGGGAGGCCAGAAGCAGTCAGATCTCAGTGAGTTCCAGGACAGCCAGGACTGTTACACAGAGAAACCCTGTCTCAAAAAAACAAAAACAAAAAAAGATTAGAATAAAGAGTGTTGAGGTGTGGTGTGTGTGTGCGTGCGTGCCTGTGTGTTGGGGTGAGGAAGAAGTATGGAAAGAAATGTGGGTAAGGAATTGCAGGCTGGGAATATAGCTCAGTGGCAGAACACTTGCCTAGCAAGAGTGAAGTCTCTACTTTCAGAACCAATTCACAATAACACTGGGATTGGTTAGGGCACAGAAAGCCTCTTAGGTAAAAAAATAAAAATAAAAATAATAAATAACCTCAATGCCATCTCCTCTGTGGACTATTTGATATGTGGATGAGCGCCAGACACACCTGTTGTAGTGCAGTTGTTGAAATGCTTGGATGCCTCCCTGCAGAATTTGGTCGCAGATCGTGCTGGAGTGTGGGGCCTGAGGGAGGCAGCCATTCCTCAGTAGGGCAAGAGCGGAGCAAGTAGAGATTCTAGGTGAAAGGTGAAAGGCACTGGGGTCCTTGTGCTCGCAGATAAGCACCAGGGGAACCAGGAGTGTTAAACACACCAGCTTGTCTCTTCAAAGGAAGAACCGTATAACCTGTTTTCTGCCCAGAAGGTTGGTGACTAGCCT